TCATAGGATAGACGGAGAACACCGACCACCCCCAAGATGTCCTCTAACCACTACACGCCTGCGCACACACAAATGTAAAGGAAAACATTTACAAACTAGGACTTTTTAAGATCTTGGCATGCTTTCTTAAAGGATTTCAATTTTATAAATGAATATAACCTTGGGGCTAGAGAGTGGTTAAGAGCACTGGCTGCTCATCCAGAGGCCCTGAGTTCAATTCCTAGCAACCACATGGTGGCTCACGACCATCTATAATATGGGATCTGACGTCCTCTTCTTTCTGATGCTCTTTTCTATCGTGTAGGCATATATGCAAATAGTGTTTATGTACATAAATAAATAAATCTTTAAGAAAAGGAATATAACCTTTTAAAATGACATCAAGTCAAATAATTTACATGTTGATTAGATTTTAATTCACACAAAATTATCCTAGGAGTTATACAACAGTATAAAAATTTTCAAAATAAAAAAAAAAAATGTGTGTGTCTGCGTATGTTCACGTGAGTATAGTACCTGAGGAGGCAAGATGGCATTGACTCCCTAAACAGTGGCTATCAACCTTCTAATGACGTTTGACAACCCTTTATACAGCTCCTGTTGTCGTGACCCTCCAAGCATAAAACTATTTTATTGCTACTTCATAACTGCACTTTTGCTACTGTTATGAATTTTAAGTATCTGATCTGCAGGATATCTGATACTTGACCCACAGGTTGAGAACCACCGCCCTACGATTGTGTTATAGGAGGCTGTGAGCTACCTGGAACTAGGTACTAGGAACTCAACTTGGGTCCTCTGCAAGAGCCAAAACTATTGAGCCATCTCTCCAGCCCCACAAATTATACTTTTTGAAATGTCATGTTTCTTTACATTCAAATGAAAGACAATACAGTGATATGGAGGAAATAACAGTTGGGAATGAGAAGCAAAATCAAATTATTTAAATATGTCAAACAAAACACATCACACCCACATCTGAAAATTCAGAATTCCTCTGTCACTTTTCCTTTGGCACAAAAAGGCGAGTTTATCTTTCTGACAGATCTGGTTTATTTATTTAGCATGTTTGCAGGTACACATGTGTGCGCGTGTGTGTGTAGGTCAGTGGACAGTATCAGGTGTTCAGCTGCTCTCCACTGTATTATTTGAGGTCTTTCACTGTACCTGAAGCTCATGGGTTGGGCTGAAATGAGTTCAGAGCAGTCTTCTATGTCAGCCTTCCCAGTAACTGCCTCTGCTCCAGCATTTTTGTTCTTAACGTGGGTACTGGGGATCAAACTCAAGTTCCCACGTTTGCATGGGGAAACACTTCACCCATTGAGCCATCTCTGTAGCCTCTAGATCTGATTTAAAAGATCAGTTCTAGCTCAGTAACTGGCTTTGGATAGGTTTGCCCTTTCTTTTTGAAAGGTGAAGTGTGGCGTTAATGCCGACTGACCTTGCTGTTTGTAAATCACCTGTATGAGATGTTCATTATATATTTTCCTGGGAGGAGGCTTTCTCCAGTTCCTCGAAACTTACTGGCTTAGCATTTACCATTAAGCTTGATATCGAAAAGGTACCTAGAACCCCATCTATGCTTTTAAAACAAAAGGCCTTGCAGAAGTCATTCTCATGAGCCTCCATTCTCTCACGAAGTAAACGAACAGTCAGTCCTAAGGTCTCCCTGAACTGAGAAGGCGTGGTGGCTGCCCAATCAAGACCCAAGGAATTCATTCGCGTTGTCACTTTACGGAGAAGCTACCTGTTCAGAATGAGCATTTAAAAATTGGTACCTATGATTTCACTGGGTCACAGGGCATGAACGCCACTGAATAGCTAACGAGTTTATTTCGCTCAGCATGAACAACTCATACTCTCCGCTGTCTGAGTTGATCACTATTTCGGTGATGGAAGCCGTATCAGTGTCACACACTTTCCCAAGTATCATCTTATTGCATTTAAAAAGATGGTTAACAAACATCGTCTGAACCTCCCACACAAAACTACAGTGCGCATGGCGGGCTAACTGGGAGAGAGGAAGTGCATTCTTGATTTGTTCAATTCCCCATAGAACGCAGAAGCCCAAAGTGCTTGTGGGGTACACGAGGAAGGTCCAGGCAGGCGCCTAACGGACTGGTCCGGATCTGGGAATTCTACCAGGCTGGAGACCTGGGTTCGCCGGCACCGACGCCGCTCTCCACTTTGACCCCAATAGCCCGCTCGCCTTACCTGCTCCTGACCTTGCGCGCCTGTGTCCGGAAGACCCTCCCCCTCGCTGGCCCCCAGCTCCGCAGAGCAGGAGAGAGGCGGAAGCTCGGCGGCTAGAGCGGAGCCGGAGGGCAACCCGGAACTACTATTGTTCCTGGGGGCGGGGCCTCGGGTGACACCTAGCGGCCGGGCTCGCTCGGAGCCGAGGGCCTCCGCCAGTGAGGAAAGCTGGGTGGGTGGGTGTGGTTCTGAGAGTGGGGGACTCTCCGGCTTTCCATGAAGGTTCTGGAGGGGTCACAAGCTTCATTTTGTTGAGACTGGCCAGTGCTGCGTCCCTCGTCTCTGAGAGCTACTTGCTCTGTGAGAGTAGAATGAAATGCAGTCTTTTGCCTTTCGCCTCACCTTCCTTCCTTCCTTCCTTCCTTCCTTCCTTCCTTCCTTCCTTCCTTCCTTCCTTCCTTCCTTCCTTCCTTCCTTCCTTCCT